TAGTATAAATATGTGGATCCGCATGGACAACTCACGTGCTATAGTATCAATATCTAGATCCGCACGGCCAACTCACGTGTTGTGCGGATAACTCACGTGCTATAGTATCAATATCTAGATCCGCACGGCCAACTCACGTGTTGTGCGGATAACTCACGTGCTATAGTATCAACATCTCACAATCAGGCCCCCGGCCTCACTCAGTCATATATCTCTCCAGTCTCTCGGGCTCTCAATAATCATAAAATCAGCCCAAACAATAAGGATATGATGCATCAATAATGAACAATAGATACTGAAATAAAATAAACAAGTAAACTGTGACTGAGTACAAAACAACAATTAAGCAATTAGTTCAACATGTGCACGACCTATATGGGTCCCAACCGTACCAACATATAGCCTAAACATGGTTTCTAACGTGACTTACAGTCAAATTTTCACAACACATAGAGAGCACATAGCTAACAACAAGTTATTCAACTTTACAGTTTCCACTGGACGGACCAAGTCACAATCCCCTCGGTGCACGCCCACACGCCAGTCACCTAGCATGTGCGTCACCTCCAAAGTAATCACATTATACCCAAATACGGGGTTTCATATCCTCAGTACCAGATTTATAACTGTTAATTACCTCAAAACGAGAAATTCCTTACTCTGTTATGCCTTTGTCTCGCAAATCGACCTCTGAATGCCTCGAATCCAGTCACAAATAATTCATTTCAGTCAATAAAATTTATTGGAATTAATTCCATAAGAAAATACTAATTTTCCATAAAAATTCGAAATTTAACTCAAAACATTGCCTGTGGGGCCCACGTCTCGGAACCCGATAAAAGTTACAAAATCCAAAAGCCCATTCCACCACGAGTCTACCCATACTAATTTTACCAAAATCCGACCTCAACTTGACCTCCAAATCATCAAATCTTATTTCTAAATCTCTAAGTTCAAATCTTCAATTTACACCTCAAAAACATGTAATCTAGTCGGAATATTCGATGATAATTCAATATTATGGAGTAGAAATGATCACAAGGGACTTACCTCATGTTTTCCCGTGCAAACCTTGCTCAAAAATTGCCCAAACCGAGCTTGAAATGCCCAAAAATGGCAGAAGCTCGGAACCCCTCTGTTTTTGTACTGCCTAGGGGCTTTCGCACTTGCAGCAACTTGGCCGCTTATGCGCCAACCGCATGTGCTGAAAAAGCCCTCGCATCTGCGCCTTTTCCCGCATCTGCGTGCCTTTGAGCACTTCTGCGCGTGAAGGGCCGCATCTGCGGCTCCTGACCCAAGCATCCCTGGCCGCTTCTGCGGCCCCCTTTCTCGCTTTTGCGGCTTCGCACCTGCGGTTCCCACTCCGCTGGTGCGATTACACCAGCAACAACAAAACTTCAACTACTTCTTTAACTTAATTCCAAGTCCGTTAACCACCTGAATTCAACCTGAGGCCCCCGGGACCTCAACCAAACATACCAACCAATCCTAAATCATGATACAAACTTAGTCGAGGCTTCAAATCACCTCAAACAACGCTAAAATCATGAATCATACCCCAATTCAAGCCTAATGAACTTTGAAATTTCTAATTTCTACAAACGACTTCGGAACCCATCAAATCAAGTCCGATTGACCTCAATTTTTGCACACAAGTCATAAATGACATAACAGACCTATTAAAATTTTCAAAATCGGATTTCGACCCCGATATCAAAAAGTCAACCCCCCGGTCAAACTTTCCAAAAGTTCAACTTTTGGCATTTCAAGCCAAACTCCACTACGGACCTCCGAATAATTTTTCGAACATGCTCCTAAGTCCAAAATCACCATACGGAGCTGTTGGAATCATAAAAATTTAAATCCGAGGTCGTTTACACATAAATCCACATCCGGTCAACTTTTCTAACTTAAAATTTTAAATTATGAGACTAAGTGTCTCATTTCACTCCGAATTCCTTCCGGACCCGAACCAACTAACCCGATAAGTCATAAATTAACTGTAAGGCATAAATTGAGCAGTGAATGGGGGAACGGGACTGTAATACTCAAAACGACTGGCCGGGTCGTTACACTGAAGCTTCCAGCTTCTGCTGCAACCGCACCTGCGCAGTTGTGAGCCGCAGGTGCGTGAAAAGCACCGCAGAAGCGGATTGGGCGCAGATGCGCAAGTACAACAGCAGAAGCACGTCGCAGATACAATGTACAAGCCGCAGAAGCGGTCGGGCCAGCTTAGGAGGAAGCCACATCTGCGATGCATTTTACGCAGATGCGGAGCCGCAGAAGCGGTTTGCGAGCAGTAGAAGCGAAAGGCATGTTTGGCAGAACGCTTTAAGAATGGGAAAACAACTATTTTTTGCCTATTTCTCTCTATTCTTGGGCGATTTTGGAGCTTTTTGAGAGGGGATTTCAACTAGCAACTTGAAGGTAAGTTAATTCTACATATTTTGAGTTAAATACATAGATTATGGATAGATTATAACCTATAAATTTAGGAAATCAAGGGTTTAGATGAAAAACCTTGATTTTTATTTTAACAAATGAGATTTTAACCACGAAAATGGTTATGGAATTGGATGGAAATTATATATTTGAGTTTTTGAGATTATGGGTAACGATTTCCTCTGAAAATTTCCGGAATCCGGGCATGTGGGCCCGGGGTGAATTTTAGAAATTTACCATTTTGGATAGGGTAATTAATTTAATAGTCTAATTTCGAATTATTGAGCATGTATTAATTATTTTATATAACTTTTGGATAGTTTCGGATTTTTCGGCACCGAATTGGGATTTTTACACGACATTGTGATCGGGAAGTGGGCTTTGAGACAAGGTAAGTCTCTTGCCTAACCTTGTAAGAGGGAATTTACCCCATAGGTGATTCATATTAATAATTGATGCTAATTGTGGGGGCTACGTACGTACGAGGTGACGAGAGTCCGTGCGTAACTACTAATTATGTTAATGTCCGGGTAGTTTAGAACTCAAATCATGAATTACTTGTGATAATTGCATCTTTTATTTGATTAAATTACTGGAATTATATTATAAATTATTTGAGGAATTAGTAAAAGATTGAAACTTCGTATACTCAAATTTTGTGTAAATTATTGAATTGTTAATAAAGATTGAACATCCTACGCGTTAAATATTATAATAACTTCTCATTCCGGAGGTTCATAAGAAAATGTCCTCATTTTTTGTGGAGCGGGCCGAACGCCTCGGCAGTATAGATGCACCTATGGATCGCGTCGTACGTTCCTCGGTAGTATACACGACACTCTGGATCGGGCCATACGACCTCGGCAGAAATCGTGCCTAATAATAATAATTACACGATACCTTAATATTTTAATTGCAGCTTATGAAGCTAAATTGATAAATTAAAAATCATTGAAATTTAAGGAATTTATTTATTTCTGCTTGTTTAGAAAATTATCGTTGTTCACCTAAAAATCATGTTTAATTAAATATTTCTATTGTAATAATATTGAGCCATAGTGAGTGTCAAAGTCGACCTCTCGTCACTACTTCTTCGAGATTAGGCTTGATACTTACTGGGTACACGTTGTTTACGTACTCATGCTACGCTTGCTGCACTTTTTGTGCAGGATCCGAGACAGGTACTATCAGAGGACCTATCGGAGCGCACCCACGTTATCTAGAGGCTTAGTAGTGAACTGCCTTTCTGAGTCGTTCTGCAGCAACTAGTACCTTTTCTTGCATTTGTATTCCGTCTATTTTATTTTATACAGTATTTAGAATTTTATATAATCTACTAGATGCTCATACACTTATGACATCAGGTCTTGGCACACACACTAATAGAATTTTTGGATTTAATTATTTTACTTGGGTTTTTAATTTATCTTATTTTCTCATATCTTCTTAATTTTTGAAATTTCGAGGAGTTTTATTACTCGGATAATTTTTATAGAAATGAATATATGTTTAAATCATTAGTTGACTTGCCTAGCTGGGATGTTGGGCGCCATCACGACCTATAGGTGAATTTGGGTCGTGACAATCTCTTAGCATCATTAATTACTCGAGAAATTAACCATGTTCCTCTGTTTTTTCTAGTCCCACATAAAATTTACCTTTAGACTTGTCAAAAATATAGTAAAGTCGGTCACATGCTCTATGGTTAATAGTATACAATCTATAACTCCTATGATCTAACGTTGTAGGAAAAAGAAAGAAAGGAACATGATTGGATGGAAAACGAAGCAAATTAGTTAGATGGTGATATAGAAGCATGAGATTTGAGCCATTAATTGTAACTCTTTAGATAAAATCCGAAGATCAATTTATGATGGTTAAGTATTTCTTTTACAATAGCAATAAAGATAAAGAGGTTCAAAAATTATTTTAAGTCACAAGTTCGAATTTTAGTGTGACATGATAGGACTATAGATTTTTTTTATAGGACTATAGATATAGATATATATGTTCTTTTTTTTTTTGATTTAATCAATTAAATTCTAAATCTTCGGCTTATAATAAAGCATTTTACCCGTTGCATATATACATTATACTCCACAGCGTATGAAAATGGGTTTTGGTTAAAAAAAGAAAAGAAGAATTGAAACGTTTTAAATATTCTTGCTATTTAAAACCCATAATGCTCATTGTCGAAAGTCTCCAAACTGCAAAAGTTGAAAACTCTCGAATCGCCCTGCGTTTTGAGTCTTCAAATACTAGTCGGTTATATACAAACAGAGCATGAAAGCTGGAAAATGAAGTTGAGATGTTGTTCAATACTGGTACTAGTACGTAGATTTCATTGTCAAGAATTACCTAAGAACACCCTCCTCTCTTCGTGCAAAGACCTCTCCTCTCTTCTCCAACTTCACGCTCATCTAATCACCTCTGGTTTTACTTTCAACACTTCCACCACTACCCTTCTTATCAATTTGTACTCTTCCTTCCAAAAATGCTCCTTTTCTCGCTCCCTCTTCGATTCTTCACCCAACCCACCTGTCATTCTGTGGAATTCAATGATCAGAACTTACGTCAGAGTCAATCAGCACGAAGAAGCTCTCAAACTGTACGTTTCAATGTTGGAAAAGTCTATTCAGCCGGATAAGTATACCTTCACTTTTGTGCTGAAAGCTTGCACTGCTATGTCTGATTTTAAACGCAGTATCTTGATTCATGAAGAGGTAGTTCGTAGGAATCTGGAAAGTGATGTCTTCATTGGGACCGGGCTTATAGATATGTATAGTAAAATGGGTGATTTCGAGAGCGCAAGGATGGTGTTTGATCAAATGCCTGACAAGGACATTGTAGCTTGGAATGCAATGATTTCTGGGCTTGCACAGTGTGCAGAGCCGGTTAAGGCTGTTGACCTTTTCAAGGACATGCAATTTATTTTTCGGATTAATCCTAATTCAGTGACATTATTAAATTTGCTTCCAGCAGTTTGTAAATTAATGGATATGAGGGCATGTAGGTGTATACATGCTTATGTATATAGGAGAGTGTTTCCAGTTTCGGTTCATAATGCTTTGATTGACACATACTCAAAATGTAATCATCCCAATGTTGCTCACCGAATTTTTCTTGAGTTAACGGGGAAAGATGATGTTTCATGGGGTACAATGATGGCAGGTTTTGCATATAATGGGAACTTTCATGAGGTTTTGGAAATGTTTGATTCCATAAAGAGAACGGGCTTTAAGATGAGCAAAGTCTCAGCTGTAAGTGCATTGCTTGGGGCTGGTGAAATTGGCGATTTACGGAGAGGGAAAGAAATTCATGAATATGCAATTCAAGAAATGATTGATTCCGACATTATGGTTGCTACTTCATTGATGACAATGTATGCAAAGTGTGGATTGCTAGACAAGGCTAGAGATCTGTTTTGGGGAATTAAGGGAAGAGATTTGGTTGCTTGGTCAGCAGCAATAGCTGCTTTCTCACAATCAGGATATCCTCAAGAGGCACTCTCTCTGTTTCGAGATATGCAGAATGAGTATTCACAACCAAATAATGTTACTCTGGTGAGCGTTATCCCAGCCTGTGCAGAGTTAAGGGCAGTGAGATTAGGAAAGAGTGTCCACTGCCATGCTGTCAAAGCCAGTATCGATTCTGATATTTCAACGGGAACTGCCTTGGTTTCCATGTATGCTAAGTGCAATCTATTCAGTTTTGCGCTTCATTTGTTCAATAAGATGCCACTGGTTGAGGTAGTAACATGGAATGCTCTGATAAATGGGTATGCGCAGATTGGCGACTGTTATAATGCATTAAAGATGTTTTCTCGATTAAGGTTAGCTGGATTACACCCAGACCCAGGGACAATGGTTGGTGTGCTTCCAGCTTGTGCCCTCCTAGGTGATGTACGCTTGGGAACATGCCTTCATTGTCAAATTATCAGATACGGGTTTGAGTCAGACTGTCATGTGAAGAATGCTCTAATTGACTTGTATGCCAAATGTGGAAGTTTGTCTTTGGCTGAATTCCTGTTCAACAAAAATGACTTCTCTAAGGATGAGGTCTCCTGGAACACAATGATTGCAGGATACATGCACAATGGACTTGCCAAGATAGCTCTTTCCGCATTCCATTCCATGAAATTCGAATCATTTCGGCCCAATGTGGTCACAATTGTGAGCATCCTGCCTGCGGTGTCACATTTGACATATTTGAGAGAGGGCATGACTATACATTCCTACATAATTAAGAGTGGCTTTCGGTCCCATAAGCTTGTAGGGAACAGTCTTATCGATATGTATGCTAAATGTGGTCAACTTGACCTTTCGGAGCGTATATTTGAGGAGATGAAGAACACTGACACTGTTTCTTGGAATGCTTTACTTACAGCATGTTCTATGCATGGGGAAGGTGATCGTGCTCTTTCTGTTTTCTCTCTAATGGAAAATAGGGACATCGAAGTTGATGCTATATCCTTGCTTAGTGTCTTGTCTGCCTGCAGACATGCAGGCTTGGTTGAAGAAGGAAGGAAAATATTTCACTGCATGCGTGGCAAATACCATATCGAACCAGATGTGGAACACTATGCCTGTATGGTAGATTTGTTAGGCCGTGCTGGCTTGTTTAATGAAATTATGGATCTGCTTAAGACAATGCCTATGGAACCAGATGGTGGAGTTTGGGGAGCCTTGTTGGATGCATCTAGAATGCATTCTAATATCGAGTTAGCAGAGGTTGCTTTGAAGCATCTTGTCAAGCTTGAGCAAGGAAACCCAGCTCATTATGTGGTATTATCAAGCTTGTATTCTCAATCTGGTAGGTGGAATGATGCAGGTCATACTAGAGTAAAGATGAATCAAACTGGACTGAGAAAGACTCCAGGCTGTAGTTGGGTTGAGGTGAAGAAGGGGATATGAATTTTATGTAGGTGCAATAGAGAGAGCCATTGGTGTTTCTCTTCGGTGAACTAGTCTAAGGGTGGCAATCCAACTGCTGAAAAATCTCCAAGATTTTGCTGGGTACTTAGTGCCACACATCTTCAAGGTTGATCTCCAATATCTGCAAAATTTAGCCAGCTTCAAGCTCCACCTATAAATTCTAGGATCTACAACTGATATTAAGGCCCCATGATGTTGGCGGGAAACAGAACATGGTTCACAAAATTCATGTTCTTAGATGAAAATGTAAAAGGTGAAACATCAACTGATATTTAATCTTATATCAGACCTTAAGGTTCCAATGTCGGAAGGGATCAACACGTGGTTTGCTCACTGAAACATGACCAGAACAACAACAACAACAACAACAACAACAAACCCAGTGTAATCCCACATAGTGGGGTCTAGGAAGAGTGGTGTGTAGGCAGACCTTACCCCTATCTCGCGTAGATAGAGAGATTGTTTCAACTGAAACATGACCAGAAGCAAGACGAAATCTGCAAATGGTGGGATATACAGCATCTTGATGTGTTCTCAGGTTCTGCGGCTTCCCATACAGTCTTTATAGGTGTTTTGGTCTCTTTTCCAATGTTAGGTGGTTCATTTTGCACTAAATAAGAAGGCTAGAACTGTATTTAAAGGGTGATGGGAAAATATTGGAAGTGCATAATCCAGTGAATCTTTTATTAACCTAAGACCAAATCCTTTACTTTCTCCTAAAGGAAAACATTAAATAATATTTTATAATCTTGTTCGGAGGTTTTGTTCCTAAAGTATTCAAGTCTCAAAAGCACTTGATGTTTGAGTTTCAACTTTTCTCTTAATACTCTTGCAGGTTGTTCAGGTACTTATATCTGTTAGCAGGAAGAACTCTTGGGAAGAAATAGTTCACAGCAAGCTTATTGGAATTCTAACAAACATGTTTTATGAAACGGTCTAAGAATACCCCTTGCTTTCGAAAATGGTCTAACAATACCCCTCATTATACTATTGGGTTATCTATACCTCTATAGTCATACTTTGGGTTCAAATATACCCCTCATTTAAACGGAGGGACACGTGTTATCGTCCTGTTGACCAATTCTAAATATCTCGTAATTAATTAAAAAATAATTTTCTAAAGCAATTTTTTTTGTAAAAACTGAAAAAAACTGAAATTGTTTTTACTAAAAACTGAAAAAAAAACGAAAATATTTTTTTTCCACTTTTTACAAAAAACCTGCTTTAAAAAAACTGAAAAATATTTTCTAAAACAGTGTTTTTGTAAAAACTGAAAACCAATTTTCTAAAGCAATTAAAAACTGAAAAAAAACTGATTTTTTTAAACTAAAAAAAGAAAAAAAATTGTTTTTTCAGTTTTTACAAAAACATTGTTTTAGAAAATTATTTTTCAGTTTTTTTTTAGTTTTTACAAAAACATTGCTTTAAAAATTATTTTTCAGTTTTTTTTAAAGAAATATTTTTCAAAAAACTGGAAAAAACTATTTTTGATTTTTTCAGTTTTTAGTAAAAAAACATTCATTTTTTCCAGTTTTTACAAAAAATTGATTTAGAAAATTGTTTTCCAGTTTTTACAACAACATTGTTTTAGAAAATATTTTTCAGTTTTTTTAAAGCAGTTTTTTTGTAAAAACTGAAAAAAAAATATTTTCGTTTTTTTCAGTTTTTAGTAAAAACAATTTCAGTTTTTTTCAGTTTTTACATTAAAAAAAAATTGCTTTAGAAAATTATTTTTTAATTAATTAGGAGATATTTAGAATTGGCCAACAGGACGATAACACGTGTCCCTCAGTTTAAATAAGGGGTATATTTGAACCCAAGGTATGACTGCAGGGGTATAGATAACCCAATAGTATAACGAGGGGTATTCTTAGACCATTTTCGAAAGTACAGGGGTATATTTGGCCCTTTGCCGTTTATGAAATCCCTAAGTTGACTAATAGAGCTCTTTCAGCTACCCCTTTATTTCTTATTCATCGGATTGATCTGATTAAAGAATGTGAACTCATATTTGCTAGGGAGTCTTGTGTATTCAAATGTTAGGGAGTCTTATGTCAATGCTAATTTGCTTTTCCAGTTGGGAATGCTGTATTCCTATTGGTTGGTTGATGTTTCTGCTGATAAAGTTACAGAATCAGGTCTACTAGCAATCTCATTTTTGATTGTTTGTATGTCGTACAAAGAGATAGGTTTTGCTTAAAGGTGAGTTTATTTGTTGTATTCCTATTGGTCTGACATTATCGCAATCTCATTACATTAAAACAGTACTTGAAAAATTTAAGTACTTAGATTTTAAAGTTGCAAAGACTGCAATTGACGTGAATCTTGCACTTGCAAAGGACAAAGGCCAAAGCATATCACAATTGGATTATGCTCGTGTGTTGGAATGTTTAATGTATATCATGAATTGTACTCGACCAGATATAGCTTGTGCTATAAGTAAATTGAGTCGATACGCGAGTAATCCAGGTCAATCTCATTTGATGGAGATGAAACGAGTTTTGGGATATTTAAAACATACCCAAGACTTTGCTTTGCACTATAGTAATTATCCTGCGGTGATTGAGGGATACTGTGATGCAAATTGGATAACCGGTTCAACTAATTCTAAGTCCACAAGTGGATATGTATTCACTATTGGTGGAGGAGCAGTATCTTGGAAGTCGTCCAAACAAACGTGTATTGCCCGCTCTACAATGGAGGCTGAATTTATAGCCTTAGATAAATCTGGTGAAGAAGCTGAATGGCTCCGGAATTTCTTGGAAGATATTCCATTTTGGCCCAAACCGTTGGCACCAATATTCATACATTGCGATAGTCAAGCGGCAATTGGAAGGGCTGGGAGCGTTATGTATAACGGTAAATCTCGTCATATACGACGAAGACATAAAACAGTTATGCAGCTACTCTCTAGGGGGGGTCATCACAATTAACTACGTAAAGTCAATCGACAATGTGTCGGATCCACTTACAAAAGGCCTAACTAGAGAGGTAGTTGAAAGATCATCAAGGGAAATGGGACTATGGCCGATGACAAGTCATTGTGGCGGTAACTCTACCTTGAGATCCCAAGATCTAGGTTCAAGGAGATCAAACAAAGTCATTAACGACGGGTTCAACATTGTCAACTAAATTTTTTGGTCCATTCTCGTGATGAGACAATGTTCAGTACCAAGGATAAATGTCATGACTCAATTCTCCCTCCGTAGGACAACGTGACGGCACCTAGTCTCTACGACTAGGTAAGCCTAAACAAAATTCTGAAATAATAAAATGGAAGTAAAACTTAACAACTAACTGCAACAGATAACTAAATAATTGGTAACAATATCGCTCGGCTCGTGGAGCCCATGTTACGGAACCCGATAAAAGTTATAAAATCCGAAAGCTCATTCAACCACGAGTCTAATCATACTAATTTTACCAAAATCTGACATCAACTCAACCTCAAAATCATCAAATCTTATTTTCAAATCCCTAAGTTTGAATCTCCGATTTACACCTCAAAAACATGTAATCTAGTCGTGTTATTCGATGATAATTCAATATTATGGAGTAGAAATGATCACAAGTGACTTACCTCAAGTTTTCCTTGAATTCTCTCTCAAAATCGCCCCAAACACCGTGCTTGAAGGTCCAAAATTGGCAAAACTCGGAACCCCTTCGAAATGTATATTGTCCAGGGGTTCCGCACCTGCGACTCACTTAGCCGCTTCTGCGGTCTCGTAGGTGCGAGAATTCAACCGCTTCTGCGGTTTCGCCCATCCTCCACTGGAGCCGCTTCTGCGAGCTAGGAGTCGCTTCTGCAGGCTCGCATTTGCGAGGCTAGCTTCGCTTCTACGGAATGCTCGCTTCTGCGATAGCTGGTGCGCACATGCGGCTTCGCACCTGCGATCAAACCTCCGCAGGTGCGAAAATACCAGAAGCAAAAATTCCAGCAGTGGTTTTAAGTCCGAATTCGATCCGCTAACCATCTGAAACTCACTCGAAGCCCCCGGGACCTCAACCAAACATACCAGCAAGTCCTAAAACATCATACAAACTTAGTCGAGTCTTCAAATCACATCCAACAACACTAAAAACACGAATCACACATAGATTCAAGCCTAATGAACTTTTAAACTTCCAATTTCTACAAAACGACGTTGGAACCTATCAAATCACGCCCGATTGACCTCAAATTTTGCACACAAGTCATAAACGACATAACGGAGTTATAAAAATTTTCAGAACTGGATTCCGACCCCGATATCAAAAAGTCAACCCCCCGGTCAAACATCCCATAAATTTAACTTTCGCCATTTCAAGCCTAATTCCACTACGGACCTCCAAATAATTTTCCGGACACACTCCTAAGTCCAAAATCACCATACGGAGCTACTGGAATCATCAGAATTCAAATCCGAGGTCGTTTATACATAAGTCAACATCCGGTCGACTTTTTTAACTTAAGCTTTAAGCCTTAGAACTAAGTGTTCTAATTCATTCCAAAACCTCACCGGACCCGAACCAATTAACCCGGTAAGTCATAAAATAACTGTAAAGCATAAATTGAGTAGTAAATGAGGAAACGGGGTTGTAATACTCAAAACGACCGGCCAGGTCGTTACATTCTCCCCCACTTAATCATACATTCGTCCTCGAACGTGCCAAGAGTTGTTTCCAAGCCATCACATCACTATTCCATCTACCACGCACATACCCGAGGGTGATCCCATGTCACCCTATTCTGTGTAAATTGTATAGGCCTGACAACACAGCATAATTGAAAATTATTACTTCAATCTTAGCCCATAAACCTTGGAATTCAATTTCCAACATTCAGAATTTCTTTTCAAGACTTGAATCTCACATCTACATGTTGTATGAGTTTGAACAAGCTATATCAAGCCATAACCATAACCCCAGATATAATCACCTAACATACTACACAACTCGCATGCTCGCAGCACCAGTTTCGATCATATTGACTACTCCAA